AGTGGTGAGATACCCGGGGAGTCAGATGTCAGGCAGGCTATAATGTGTCATAAATCCAATGTCTATATTTAGTCCATGATTTTTAGTATCCAGGAGGTTGACGAAGTGGAGTTCATAGGCTCGTCTCTGGGAAGTGTTTTGTAAGTTTTCCTTCTTTTGTTAGAAGTATTATTTTAGTCTGGGGAGCTCTGTAATCTAACTTCATAGTTGCTTATTGTAACACTTCCTTTTGCTTTGACATGGATTCACAACCCAGAGTTTTGGATTTAAATTCAAAATCTTAAATTAAAACTTAGTTGAAAATGCTGTTTTTTTTAAATCCAAATGTACATCAGTGTAATGAAGAACAGAATTTTGCTTCTTCACTACACTAGGGGCAGATTGTAACTCAGTGGATGCATCTACACATTCATTAATGTGCAGTAGCTACTGCATATTTTAGCTTAATACTTTCTTAATGAAGTACTAATTAAATGTGCAGTAACTACAGTTACTGCGCAGTAGCTTTGGTGCATGGTTTTTTTAGTGATGCTTACTGTGCAGTAGCCTAATACTACTGCACAGTAGCCTAATACTACTGCACAGTAGCTTATTAGCACAGTTTTGCCCAGCACACTACTGTGCAGTGTTATAGGCTACTGCGCATTAAACATCTCATGTAGATATGCTCGATTTCATCTGGCTCTTAATGTGGCCCACAGTTCCTCCTACTCAGAAAAATATTAAAACACTAACAAATTAAGAGGCAGAATCAATACTGGGATAATTTCTCCCAACTGAAATGCAGTTGAAGTTGCCTTCAATATGGTTGAACATCGTAAGAGTGCCCAGCAATACTTCACAGTAATTCAGGACAAAAAATAAAGCAGCATACTAAATGCAACCAAAAAAAACAGGCAAATGTGAAGAAGCAAGAAATACCCAGATTGAAGAGTAGTTCAGCTTTCATAGAATCATAGAAGTAGGGTCGGAAGGGACCTTGTAGATCTTCAGGTCCGACCCCCTGCCTGGGCAGGAAGAAAACTGGGCTCAAATGACCCCAGCCAGGTAGGCATCAAGCCGCTTCTTAAAGACCCCCAGGGTAGGAGCCAGCACCACTTCCCTTGGAAGTTGGTTCCAGATCCTAGCCACCCTAACTGTGAAGTAGTTCTTACAGATGTCTAATCTAAACCTACTCTCCAACAACTTGTGGCCATTATTCCTTGTTATCCCGGGGGGGCGCTAGGGGAAACAAGGTTTCACCCGGAACCCTTCTGGTCTCCCCTAGTGAGTTTATAGATGGTCACCAGGTCCCCCCTCAGCCTTCTCTTGTGAAGGCTGAACAGGTTCAGGTCCCGTAACCTCTCGTTGTAGCGTCTGCCCTGCAGTCCCCGGATCATGCAGGTGGCCCTCCTCTGGACCCTCTCAATGTTGTCCACATCCCTCTTGAAGTGGGGTGCCCAGAACTGGACACAGTACTGCAGCTGTGGCCTGACCAGTGTCGCGTAGAGGGGGAGGATCACCTCCTTGGACCTACTTGAGATGCATCTGTGGATGCACGATAAAGTCCGGTTAGCCCTGCCGACCGTGACCTCGCATTGTCGTCCCATGTTCATTTTGGAGTCAGTAATGACTCCGAGATCCCTTTCTGCCTCCGTGCTCTCAAGAAGGGAGTTTCCCATCTT